ATGGCTGCAACGAAATTGCTACGTTTGGTAGCGTGGAAGTCTCGCGTTCGTTGCTGAAGAAAGGCTTTCGAATTCCTCATAAACGCCGTATAATATTGGTCGAGTACAAAAAGATTTTAAACCTCGCAATAAACTTCAAAATAATTCCAAGAAAGAATGTCTAAAGTCTAAACGAGGTTGGTACGCCAGAGCCATACACCGGTCTTTCCGAGGTTTGGGCCTCCTCGTCAGTGACTCCCGCTCCACATTAAGCCCTGCATTTAGCAAGGAGGGAGGCGTATGTGGTGATGGCATAGTATACAATGGCAGTGGTCCATCACCAATTTTCAGTCGTTGGATTTCGGATGTTTAGATCAAAATTGATCCAAGAAATCCATTTTTAAAACCTCGCAATAAACATTCAAAATAATTTCAAAAAAAAAAAGAATACTCAAAGGTCAGGGGGTCACTGACGAGGAGGAAGAAACCTCCGAAACACCGTATATGGCCATGGCGTACCAACCTCGTTTAGGCTTTAGATATTGTTTTTTGGAATTATTTTGATTGAGTACATTTTTCAGCCCTGTGGATAGCCGGGCTGAAGAGCTCCTTGGAGCCATCGTTTATTGAATGTAGGAAATTGTTGGCAGAACGATGGAGAAGGGAATCACCCAATGTCGAGCTGCGCAGAACATCACTAGCAGCACGGGCACCGCCCGTTTCTTCTCATACTTTTCTAAGAATGGGATTATTTTGTAATTTGCTATTCGAAATCCTTCAGTCATTGATTAGACGAGGACTGTTCATGTTCATAACAACCGGTAATGTATCAAATACAATGTTTTTCAACCAAAATTCAGAATCTGAGAATCAAAATTGCAAATTTCCATAGATCCTTTCATTATTATTTGAGCCACTTGTCATGTGGTCTGGTAAGGGCTCTTGGACAGCCCGATACACGTGTTTCGTTCTTACAGACTCGTCAGTCGGGCAAAACCCGTCGTCTTTCGATATTTTTATAGCCCCAAATAAGGGCATAATTTGATAAAAATACCAGCCAACGAGCAATCGAGTGCGAAAACACTCTGTGTTAGGTGAAAATTTCGCTTTGACATAGAGTGTAAAACGTTCATCTTTGATGACTCTCTGTAAGGGAGCAGAGCTTCCGAGATTGACTATAGAAATATCGAAAGACGACGGGTTCTGCCCGGCTGACGAGTCTGTAAAGACGAAACACGTGTATCGGGCTGTATAAGAGCCCTTACCAGACCACATGACAAGTTGGCTTAACTAATAATGGAGGGGTCTATGGAATTTTGAGCGTGGTCTTATTAAAGCACTGGAAATAAAAGTATAATATCGAAACTGCAAAATTCTGTGATGATATTACTTTCTTTTCATTACCTTGACCTAGCGGCATCACTCCACATCCAAGCACTACTGTGCCAGTGGCTAACAGCGAAATCAGAAAGGTCGAAAGCTTTTCCATGATTTTAGACGAGCCTTAAACTTCGTAAAATCGTCATTTCGTTTTTTCAGATAAAGGTTCTTTAGAATGACTTCTATGACAAATCTGATATCCAGAAATGCGTGATTAAAGATCAGTTGGAAAATATATATTAGATGATGAATGATAACAAGAAAAGGAAAATGTTGGCAAACAAAAACTTCACTGAATGCGCGATTTCGCCAGGGCACTGTTTGAAATCAGCCCCTACCAGCTCCTTCGTGATGCTGAGACATAAAATCCTAACTTTCTTGAAGACAGAGTAATGCACATTAAGCAAAACGCCGTCCTTACACATCGACGGAGCAGTCGAATGAAAGCAAAATGAAAATTTCTGTAAAATTTCGCCAACGAACTCAAAAACAAGCTAGATCAAATGACACCAAGAATCTGTCACCATAATGGAAAGTAAAGGGAAAGAGCGTCAAAACTAGTGTTAAAGAAACTGTCGCACTGAGGTGCAAAGCTCCGTCGTTAGGCGCAAGAGAATATCTCTTTATCAAAGTACCATTGTATTGAGAGGAGAAACAGAAGATAAGTGGACGTTCTTAAGAGCTGGAGGAAGGGTGAAAACGAGCTGAACTGCTTTGGTCAACTTTTTGAATGCTTCGAGTTTTTACAAAAGGTGAATGTTTGTGAAGGACGTTCTCAATTTTCGCGATTTTTCCACGTTTTATGAAGGAAACAAAAATTTGTCATTGTAGAATTCGCGTAATGAAGTGATATTTCATTCGCGCATGTGTTTGTGAACAAAACTTCAAAAGAATTTGAAGTGCTGTTTTCTTATTGTAAATGGCTAATTCGGCAAATCAGAGCATCTTAATCATGAAATAGTCAAGTTTTTTCACTCCTGATTTAAACTGCAAAGCGAATATTGCCTAATTTCACTAAAAACAACACTGTGTAAAACTCCATTAGACGCTATTCCAATATCTTCGTTTGGCGATAAAACTAGAACGCATTCTTCCGTTCACAGAATTGCTGTGGAGCATGCATACGATGGCTCAGAAATTATATTTTGAGGAACAGTTTGATGATAGCTGCTCCTTATGTGCATTTATAGATTTAGAAAATATTTCTGCTCCTATGCGGATCTCATCGTAGTAATAAGTGAAGTATTATATGAAGTTGAAAGTTTCAATTATTTTCAATATCTTAATATGAATTCATCGCCGGAACGTGATAAATTATGTTTTATTATTTCGTTGTTGACATATCAAAACCATCGACGACGGTGTAGAATAATCGGCCCTGTTTAGAATTTTTAATGAAAGCTGAATGAAGATGAATAAGCAGTTGCGTGCTGTACCACTTCCTTGTTATTGCAGTTCCGTGTTGTCAGTTGAGCTTCTGATGGTCGCACTTTCAACAAGATATTGTAAAAAACAGAGAAACTAAACCATTGCAACAAAAATACTTCTGTTAGTAAGTTTTTAGTTGAGAATTGTAGAAGTGTCTGATTCTATTCAAAATTTAATTTTCATGTGGGTCAGCTGAAATTAGCACGAAATCAAACAGATTATTACTTCGTTTTGACGTGCGTACGATTTGTCCATAGGTACAATATAGGCTTATGATACAATATACGTACGATACTTAGATTCAATGAAGGTTTTCCGCACTTCTCCCATTTATAGGAGCTTTCCAACAATTTCTTGAGTACCCAATGATGTTGAGTAAGGTGTAAAACTTTTACGTCAGGCGGGACTCGCTTGAAAAAAAAAGAATTCTGTTTGATCAACCAATACTCAATATCTGTCAGCTTGAGTGGTTCCAATGTCGATATAGTACAAGTGGACCAAACCGCTGACGGTTGGTAACTGGCAGATAGATGCGTTGTAGCGTAGAAAGAGTGATGACAAAACAGGCGTAGGCAGTGCAACGGATTAGAGCACACGCTCCCGGACTGGGTGCAATACGGTTCGAGTTCCTCTTGGCACAAAAGTTATGCACATCACTCAGCATCATTGAATATATTTACGATCTAAAATTATTGAGAGCTATTGATCACACCACCTCTCATCTCTAATAAGGGCTTCTGTTAAGCGCGGCACTGCCGGAGTTATTCCTCTGCTATCACTCATTAAACGGAATAAGGTGTCGGAGCTTCAATGAACAACCGTGAACGAGTTTGGTCTGTTAAGCACATGTGGTAAGCACGGTTGAATTGGCAATCAGTGGATATATGTAATTTACAGAAATTTTCCTTTTAATTGCATTCCAACATTGTTATCATATTATAATTATCATATGTAGGTCTGTCGGTCCACCTGCCGTTCTGTTGAGTATCGATTGATTCAAACGAGCATACCTAAAATTTACACCTCATAATATCGCGTAAACAAAGAGTGGGTCCTTTTGCTCTAGGAAATCGTTTGGATATGATATTTTTGGGCTTCTTCTAAAGATTTCAAACCATCTGGTCGGCCGGTCTGAATATGGTGAATTTGATATCCCACAGAATCCGCTCGCAAACGGCTTGTCCATTGATTCACACCCATACCTGTTCACGTGATCGTCGATAGTTTGACGAGTAGAACGGCTATTTTTTTCAATCAGTGACGTAGGCCAGGGCTCCAAATCCTTTCTGTCATTTGTCAAGTGCGGGATATCCCAATAAAGGTCTTTCAACTGCGGATTTGAGAAGCTTACGTAGCGACATGATTTTGAGGCATACTTTAACACGTTGACGCTCAAGTGGGGGCGTCAAATCTCTTCAGTTACTGTAATGGCGGCGCCGCGTCCCGTGAGAAAGGCGGAGGATCTCGTGATATGGCACACACTCCAGACAGCATGATGGATGCGGAGAGACTAATCCAGACGGTTCTAAGAGAGCATCTCCATCATGAAATGATAAAATTTCAGGGGGAAACTTCATACAGTGATATTCTCAGCAAAGAGACATCTATATCTTCCATATTTCATCTACATTTCTTATGTTTCAACGACGAGACTACATCGCAAAATGATAACATATGAAAATGACTATGATAGTGATAATGATTATGCTTTCAATAATGCTAACGATTACGAAAGCAATAATAATGCCACCCTTTTGAGCTGTTTAAGAGTTCTCATAAAGGCACATACACAGTGCATTCCATTCAGTGCAAATGCAGTGCATTGACCAGAAGTCGAACTTATACTTGGTAGAATGAATCATACTTTCGTTCGATAATGATTGTGATAATATTAATGATAATGATAATGATAAAGTAGTGAAAGCGCTAATGATAATTATAGTAATGACGATAGTCTGAGTGATAATGATGATGATGACAATGATGATAGTGACAGTGATTAGTGACAACCATGATAGTGATAATGGTTATAGTGATAATGATAACAGTGACAATGATGATAATGATAGTGCTAATGACAGCAATGGTGATAGAGGTAGTGATAGTGATAGTGATGGTGATAGTCAGTATAAATTCTTTCTGTTTTGACTGCCACTTGCAGTGGTATGATTTTATAGTATACCCAGTATGTGGAGTGCTGTGCCAAAAACGTTTGCGTCAGCCGGGGATTCGAACCCAGATTTCACTCTTCCCGGGAGCGTCTGCTAACCGTTGCACTACCGACGGGTATACTATAAAATCATACCACTGCAAGTGGCTGTCAAAATAGAAAAAATTCAGAATGATTATCGATATCCAATGTCTGTCAACACAAGTGGGTTCAATGCCGATAGCGGCTTGCCCCGCCAGATTGTCGACGGCTGGCTGTTGGCAGACAACGCGTTTATAGCGTAAATAAGAGTGCTCTGCAAAACGAGCGTCGGTAGTGCAACGGTTAGCATACGCTCCCGGAAAGAGTGAGATCTGAGTTCGAATCCCGGCTGACGCAAACGTTTTTGCACAGCACTCCACATATTGGGATGGTGATAGTGATAGTGGCGGTGATAATGATGGTGGTAGTGATAATGATAGTAATAGTGATAGTACCAATGATAGGAATAGTGATAATGGTAGTGAAAGTGATAATGATGGTGATGGCGACAGTGATAGTGATAGCGATGGTGTTAGTGGTAGTGCTAGTGACAGCTTCCTATGAGTGGTTGTCCATACTGGGTGAGTCCTCCCCTGTCTTTCTTGTCAATCGCAATTTTCCCACGGTCTCGATTACCTAACGAGACGGTGGCGAAGGAGTTTGTCACTAGAGAGCGCAGACACAACCGCAGTTTAGCACAAAGGCGCAAATGCTCCGCTAGCGGGTGCCGCGAACGCGACGGCGCGACACCCCCGGCATATCAACGGTGGGCGCCAGACTGTTAAACTAAGCATATCCAATAGTCGAAAGGTGAGCAAGGTGTGTGGTGTCTTTTGTTTCCTTCAATACATACCCGATGCTCCTAAGCGCTTTTCAACCGGTTGCTCAGCTCTGGAGCTAGGTCATTCATTCATCATATTAACTTCCCGACCTAGGTAACGTAACTGGAATAATTAGAGATACTCATTTCGTTTGAACGTGAATGGAATATTCAGGATCAAACCATTTCTCAAAAACATCTTTCTCGTTGAGTGTAGTCAGAAATAAAGTCTTGTCAAACAATGTCGAAATCGGTCAACATTTGCACTGTCTGGCTATTATTATGGTAATATGATGCCATTAGCGAAGCAAATATCGTGTCCTTGTTCAGCCAATTTTCTCTCACGTGCTGCTCATCTCAATGTTTGCAAGATGTTTTTTAGGGCAAACAGCAAATAATCCCATCTTTCTCTTACATAAACTTACCTAGAATACTTCGAAATCATAGTATTAATAAATTATATTGAAATATAATAATATTAGTGTATTATATTGAAATACTATAATTTCAAAGCATTATGTATAACAGTGGCTGTCAACTTAGCGGGATTTATAAAGCAAAATCGCATATCCGACCAAACCTGTTGACGGTTGGTGCCTGATAACTAACATAGAGATGTTGAAGAATGTGTGGTCGGGCAAATGTGCCTCGGTGGTGTAGTGGTAGAGCACACGTCCCCGGTATGGATGAGACTCGGACTCCACTCCCGCCTGAGGCCGTGTTTTTGCTCACCACTCAATTCTCTTAGTTATATAAACTAAATGTCGCCTTTTTCTGAGGATAAGGCCACATCCTTACGAAACGGAAGTATTTTCTAACTGATTTTGAAAATCTTATCTTATCATCTTGATGTTTTTGCAATTAATCGATAGCTTGAAAAATTTCAATTTCGGTGGTAAGCTTGTTGTGTGATAAGATTTGCTTAGTACGTTCGACTAATGAATAAAAGATACCGTCTTGTAATTGCCTCCCAATTGTTCTAATTCATAGAGGGTTCTTAGGATTATATTATGCTTAGATTTTGATTCACCAGTACGAAAGATCGGAATCAATCCTTTCAGTCAATTATTTTTCTAGCTCTCAGTTGCTAATGATGCTAATGAATCTAACGAAAACAATGTTCATGAGGAAAGGATGGGTTTCGAATGCCCCATTCACGCTCAACGGAAAAAACAATCTCCGAATGCTCCAGTTACGTCTATCTAGGTCGTGAAATCAACATGGTGAACGACCAAGCCCCAGAGTTGAGCAGGATGAAACGAGCGGCTTGGGGAACGTTTAAGAGAATTGAAGATGTAGTGAAGAGGACAAAAAACAACCGACCCCGTGCCCACCTTTTCGACTCGACAATTATCGCTGCCCTAACGTATGCAGCAGAAACCTGGTCGCTACGTAAACAGGACGAAAGATCACTTGATCACTTGACGTTAACGAAGCGCAGTCGAAAGGTCGATGCCAGGAGTATCCCGTATCTCGCAAATGAGAGGAAGGATCCGAAGTTCCGACCTACGTCAACGATCGAAAATCAGAGACGCCGTTCTACACCCCAGGATATCAAAAATAAGGTGGGCCGGACACGTGATGCGCTTCAACGACAACCGATGGACGAGAGCCGTTACCGACTGAATTCCTCGGGACGTCAAGCGCTCTAAAGGAAGACCACTGACCCGTTGGTCCAATTTCTTCACGAAAGCGATAGAAGAAAGATATGATGCTCAGCGAATCCCTATAGCGAGGAAGACCCACTAGGCTTGCACGCGATAGGGAAAAATGGAAGAGTTTCTAGTACCCGCTCGAGTCACTCGACGATCAACGGGACGACAGGTGATACAGGTGATCACAAGGACGAGATGTAAATGATTTGGCGCCATCCGAGATACTTGCAATACCACAATGGAGCTGAGCAGTAGCACTTGTTGAAGCAGTGAACACCTTAGCAGTTGGTAATTTTAAAGCCACTCGCAGTAAAGTTCCTTGTACATGCTGCAACGAAATTTGCCAAGTTATGCAATGTGAAATAGAGAACTAATTCTTTCTGTTGGATATATTATCCTTAGTTTATTCGTCAGCTACATATCAGTAACCGAAATCATTTCGTCATTTTCTATAGGAGAGTTGTGATACGCTAAATGAAGTAGCAAATGTGTCTACGTAGAAATTTTTTGCCTATTACCTTGACCTTGTGGCATCACTCCACATCATGATGCCACAGCCACTGTGGCAAGCAGCGATGTCAATAGGGTCAAAAGTCTTTTCACACTCATAAGACTATTGATTTATGGCTCGTAAAAGGCACGGAAATACTTTAGAAACCGACTGAAAATGATTTATAATTTGAAATCAGTCATTAGCTTTACAGAACGGATATGACACTGAACACGCGTAGTCAGTGATGTCAATTAGCCAGCTGTTTTTCCAGCTCTTTGTCTTCTACACGAGCTTAAGAAGTAATCGATCCATATATTTCTTGTAAAAAATTTCCTTAATAAGCTCATGTAACAGATTCTGCTAGCTGGAAACATATAGGCATATTGATGAAAAAAACTGTATGTCAGATGAAGAATAAAAACAACAAATGCGAAAACGAACACTCGGCAAAATTTTACTGCATGAGCTTTTATCAGGTCCATGGCTTGAACTTCGTGCCCACCATCTCATTTGTGATGCTGAAGTATGGAGTCTTGGATATCCTAGAGAAGGAAACTCTTAAGACAAACGCCGCAGTACAAATGCATATTTGTGAGAAAATTCATTAAAGAACAAGTTTGTGGACAAGCACGAGGCACGACTTTCGGTGTGGAATGTTCTTAGCAAAAAAAAAATTAAGATAACAAAGATCTAATTTTTTGAAATGTAATGTTTCCACTACCCCTTTTTTCACTACTCCCTTAAGATCTCATTTGTTGATGAGGTGGTCGACTGAGAGCGGAACAGAGGGCTTCCCCAGAATTTTATTGAGAAATTCAGAAGTATTCTGAAAGAATGACACAAGGATTCCTTCGGTATGATGAAAAAGGAGAAAAGGGCATTGGTGGTAGATAAACAATTGTGTTGAGATTGAAGCTTTGACATCCGGCGCAAGAGAACATCATTTTGCTAAAACTACCACTGAATGAGGTAGAGAGAAAAATGAACGCTCTCAGGAGCGATTGTGGTTGACTCTGAGCTGGAGCTTCTTTTGGCTCCAAGTTTGTAGCTGAGATAGATGCTTATAGTACGCTATCTACTTTTTACGAACTTTCTACAATGTGCATGGAAGACAAAACTTGTTATTTGTAGGTCTCCTATAGTTGTGATAGGGATATGTCACGTAAAGGTCGGCTGAACCGAAGGCACCGTGCTACTGAGGAGCATTGAAGGGCAAAACAAGCGCTTACCTAGCACTGTATAAGTGACTTAACAAACCTAATGTCAGTCAAAGATGCTACCATGTTATCAGACTCTCATTACTCCAAATAGAGTTGTTCAGCAACTTCAATTACTTCTGGTTGATAATTTAACTGTTTATTGCCGTAGAGCAAAAACTTATGCGAAAACTTAATATTTTCATGGCCTTTTATTAGCCTATTCGAGGTTTGGTATTGCATACTAGAGGTTTGGCGTTGCATAACAGAAGTATAAATTTTTCAAATCGCGAAATGTACTCGAAAGATTATTAAGAATGCCAAGAAACTCCAAAAGTGCAAAAACCCTGTGATGATACAGTTCCTGTTGAGTTCAGAATGAAATAGTAATTCACATGAATCCGTGCTCTTCTTAGATAATCATGTGAACGACCAGTTTTTGCTAAGACTTCAGGCACCGTTCGATTACCAGCTTTAAAGTTACTTACAACGGAAACTCTCTTATATTCACTAAATTCTGCAAATTGTTACGTGCTCTGGCGAATTTGTCCGCTGTTTGGCATTTAACACGGAACTGCAACCATAAGGAACTCGTGTAGCACGGAACTGTTTACTCATCTTCATCAGCGTTCATAAATTTAGAGCAGGGGCGATGAATTTATAGCGCATGCTTGAGTGAGAGAACTCTCGTTCGCCGAGGTGTCGTTGAAGTAAGGAAGTTAAGCTTCACAGGATACTGTCATCAATGAAGTGAGAGCTCGCATGGTGATCAAAATAGTTTAGAGTAAATTCATGGCCACTCAAAGGAACACCGTTAAGCAAGCTGTTCTTCAGAACCAATTTTTGACTCATCATATGCTCTGCAGTATATTTTGAAGCAGATAAAAGAGCACGCATGAGAACTTGCTGGAATAGTATTTAGTGGAGTTTT